CTATCTATCTATCTATCTATCTATCTATCTATCTATCTATTTTTCTAGTAGGACTCTTGGTATGGTGCTGTGGATTAATGTGCTGGACTGCAAAGTTGGTCTGATCCACAAGGTCAGCGTTTCAAGCTCACCAGCCGCTCCTTGGAAACCCTATACAGGATCACTATGGATCGTAATGTTAAGTTTGACGGCACTTAACAACAACAACAACAACAATTGATCATTGGGTTATTTATTTGAAAGTAACTTTAAGTTTATGTTTTGACTGAATATGACTTTAGAAGGACTCTGAAGGGTAGATGCTTACAGGGCAGGGATGCTATAGGCAAAGCTTTGAGGCAATAGTGTCAAAGAAGAATGCCCCATGATGCTTAATAATTTTCAAGGTGCAGTGTCAGATATAATTTTCATTTCTCCAAATTGTATAATCTCAAATAATCTGTCATATTTTACTTATATGGTGAGCAGCTATTAAGTGCTTATTACATACCAGGCACTGTTAGGTACTGGGATATTGTACTTAGGAAATATGACAGTTGAGGAAATTTTCTGGCTGTTAGTACTTTCTTTACTGATTCAGGGAGGAACAGAAATAGGCAATTAGAATAAATATGAAGTGTGTGGTGAGACAGATGAGCACAGGACAACAAAGCCTATCATTAACAGTGATGTGATTGTTAGTACAGACTCTACATGCTCTAATTGGACTATATAGGAATGCATCGAACTATCTCAGAGAACTATGGAGAGGTACATTATATCTGACAAACTGCAACAAACTAGTTTTTAACCTCGATTTTTCATTCTCCTTGAAATAATGGTGTAAACTGATTTAAAAAAAATATTTGGGTACCTCCCAAGTGCTTTATAAAAATTTAAAAAAAAAATTGGTTTACACCCTTTCAAGGAATACCACTGCTATTAAATGATAGTATATCTATAATTTAATAACCCTTTTCCCTTCTTTTCCATTACATTTCACGCAGTGTTATATGTTTTTATTCCCTTTTTTCTTATTTAATGTTTCAATAGAGTGTAACCCTAAATGTAAAAGTGCACAAAATATAAAATACAATAGTAGTGTGATATCACAAAGCAAAGCTCCGTGCCAGCACAACTCAGATCAATAAACACGACCAGCCCCATGTTCCTTGCAATGATGACCTTTTTTCCTCCCCAGAAATAACTTCTAACAACACAGATTAGTATACCTGTGTTTGAATATTTTATAAGGACAATAAAAAATTTTATATACATTCACACATATATTTATCATTTACATACATAAATGCATATGTTTGTGTCTGACTTCTATTATTCAAAAGTATGTTTGTGAGAGTCATTCCTGCTTTTGTGAATAACCATTCAGTTTCATGTTTGTTGAGTATTTCCTTTATGAATATATCATAATTTATTAATGATATTACCAACAATGCTGCTCAATATCATCAGCTAAACCAAGACCAAGAATTGAATGTGGAACAGACCATCAATTGCTCACATGCAAGTTCAGGTTGAAGGTGAAGGAAATGAAAATAAGTCCACAAAAGCCAAAATATGATGTTGGGTATATCTCGCCTGAATTTAGAAACCACCTCGAGAACAGGTTTCACACGTTAGACAGTAATGACCAGAGGTGAGAAGAGTTGTGGGGTGACATCAAGAGCATCATACATGAAGAAAGCTAAAAGTTATTAAGAAGATAGAAAAGAAAGAAAGAAAAAAAGACTAAAATGTATGTCAGAATAGACTTTGATACTTGAGTTTTAAAGTAGAGAAGTGAAAGCGACTAAAAGTGACTGGAAGAAATGAAGTCAAAGAACTGAACAGAAAAATTGAAAGGGCAATTTGAGAAGACAAAGTATTATAATGAAATATGCAAAGACTGGAATTAGAAAACTAAAAGGAAACAACCCACTCAGCGTTTCTTAAACTTCAACTTGCAATAATAAAAGATTCTATGGGTAAAATGTTGATGCAGTACAATGAAATGAAATATGATAGGATGAATGTAAAATGGATCTTCTCCCATTTAAACCCACATAATTCACAATAAAAACTTAAAAAAAAAAATTTGATGCCAGAAACCTCAAAAGAAGATGTAAGGAGTGCACAGAGTCACTGTTGTTGTTGTTGTTAGGTGCCATTGAGTCGGCTCCGACTCATAGAGATGAATCGGCTCCTATGCATAACAGAATGAAACACTGCTCAATCCTGTGCCATCCTCACAATTGTTACACTTGAACCCATTGCTCCTGCCACTGTGCCAATCCATCTCATTGGGGATCTTTCTCTTTTTTACTGACCCTCAATTTTACCATGATGTCATGGTACCAAAAGGAACTAGTTGATATTCGGCCATTTCAAGAGGTAGCATATGATCAAGAACCCATGGTATTGAAAAAAGAAGCCCAAGGCTGCACTGAAGGCATTGGCAGAAAACAAGGCAGCAGGAATTGACAGAATACAAATTAAAATGTTTCAACAAACAATGCAACACTGGAAGCACTCATTAGTCTATGCCAAGAAATTTGGAAGACAATTACCTATTGTAAGAGATGCATATTGGTATCCATTCCAAAGAACAGTGACCCAATGGAATGAAGAAATTATCAAGCAACATCATTAACATCACATGTAAGCAAAATTTTACTGAAAATAATTTAAATACAGCTACAATAGTACATGAACAGGAATCCTGAAATTTAAGCAGATTTAGAAGAGGATATGGAATTAAGGATAACATTGCTGATGTCAGATATAACTTGACTGAAAGCAGAGAATATCAGAGTGATGTTTACTTGTGTTTCATTGACCATGCAAAGGCATTTGACTGTGTGGCTCTTAACAAACTATAGATATTGGAAGAGTAGGAATTCCAGAATACTTAAATGTATTCATGTGGAACCTGTACATGGATTACGAGGCACCTGTTATAACAGAATAAGGGGATACTGAGTGGTATAAAATTAGGAAAGGTGTGCGTCAGGGTTGTATCCTTCCACCATATTTAATCAATCTGTATGCTGAGCAAATAATCTGAGAAACTGGATTATATGGAGAAGAATGTAGCATCAGGATTAGGGGAAGTCTCATTAGCAACCTGTAATATGCAGATGACATAACCTTCCCAGCTGAAAGCAAAGACTTGAAGCATTTATTGGTGAAGATCACAAAATACAACCTTCTGCATGGATTAAGGCACAATATAAAGAAAAAAGTTACAAACTGGACCAATAAACAAAATCATGATAAATGTATAAAAGATGGAAGTTGTCAAGGATTTAATTTTTCTGGAATCTACAATCAATGATCATGGGAACTACAATCAATAAATGACACAATGTACTACCATATTAGCAAATCTGAAAAGACCTCTTCAAAATGTTAAAAAGCTAAGCTGTCACTTTAAGGGTGAAGGTGAGCCTGACCCAAGCCATAGTATTTTCAATTGCCTCATATGCGTGCCACCACTCATCTATCAGTTTGTCATGCTGTGGTGGCTTACATGTTACTGTGATGCTGAAAGCTTTGTCACCATCATTTTGAATACCAACAGGGTCACCCATGATGGACAAGTTGTAGTGGAGCTTCCAAACTAAGGCAGACTAGGAAGAAGGAGAGGTGGACTAATTCTGAATGTTTTGCCATAGAAAACAAAACAAAACAAAAAAACCTTATGAATTAAAAACTGAACATTGTCATGTATAGTACAGGAAGATGAGCCCCTCAGGTTGGAAGGCACTCAAAATATGACTGGGGAAGACCTGCCTCCTCAAAGCAGAGCTGACCATAATGATGTGAAGGGAGTAAAACTTTTGGGACCTTCATTTACTGATGGGGCACAACTCAAAATGAGGAGAAACAGCTGCAAGAAACTATTAAAAAATCCAAACATGGAATGTACAAAGTATGAATCTAGGAAAATTGGAAGTTGTCAAAGATTAAATGGAATGCATAAAGATTGATATTCTAGGCATTCTTGACCTGAAATGAATTGATATTGGCTATTTTGAATCAGACAATCATATGGTTTACTATGCTGGTAATGAAAAATTGAAGAAGAATGGCATTGTATTCATTGTTGTAAAGAACATTTCAAGATCTGTCTGTGACAGAATAATATCCATACATCCATATATCTATGAGGTGAGGAACACAAATTAATACCACTATTATTCAAATTGAAGTCCTGGTGTGGGGCTGTAGGATAAATATGGGACTGTTAACCACAAGGTTGTCAGTTCAAACCCACTAGCCACTCCTTGCAAACTCTATACAGGGTCTCTATGAGTCAGAACTGACTTGATGGCACATAACATTATTCAAATTTACACACCCACCATTAAAGCCAGTGATGATGAAATTGAAGAATTCTGGCACTGTAGGGTAAGCACTGGACTGCTAACTCCAAGGTTGGCAGTTCAAACCCACCAGCCACTCCTCAAAAACCCTATACAGAGTCAGCACCAACTAGATGGCACATAATCACAACTCTTTAGTCTGAAATTGATCAAACATGTAATCAGGATGCATTGATAATTACTGGTGATTGAAATGTGAAAGTTGAAAACAAAGGGGAAAGATCAATAGTTGGAAAATATGGCTTTGTTGATAGAAATGATGTTGGAGAGCACATGATAGAATTTTGTAAGTCCAATGACATTCACTGCAAATACCTTTTATCAAGAACTTAAAGGTGACTACAAACATTGACCTTACCAGATGGAATACATAG